AGTCAGACGCAATTGCGCCACGGCCACGGATCCCTGATCAGTATGTCACTCTAGTTTATAAGTGATCTGGAGTTAGACGCACTACCGTTGCGCCACGGATCTCTAATCAGTATGTCACTCTAGTTATGTCGAGGTTAAAGATGTCTTGTTAGAAAAAGACCATGCAACCTTCTGATCTGGAGTCAGACGCAATTGCGCCACGGCCACGGATCCCTGATCAGTATGTCACTCTAGTTTATAAGTGATCTGGAGTTAGACGCACTACCGTTGCGCCACGGATCTCTAATCAGTATGTCACTCTAGTTATGTCGAGGTTAAAGATGTCTTGTTAGAAAAAGACCATGCAACCTTCTGATCTGGAGTCAGACGCAATTGCGCCACGGCCACGGATCCCTGATCAGTATGTCACTCTAGTTTATAAGTGATCTGGAGTTAGACGCACTACCGTTGCGCCACGGATCTCTAATCAGTATGTCACTCTAGTTATGTCGAGGTTAAAGATGTCTTGTTAGAAAAAGACCATGCAACCTTCTGATCTGGAGTCAGACGCAATTGCGCCACGGCCACGGATCCCTGATCAGTATGTCACTCTAGTTTATAAGTGATCTGGAGTTAGACGCACTACCGTTGCGCCACGGATCTCTAATCAGTATGTCACTCTAGTTATGTCGAGGTTAAAGATGTCTTGTTAGAAAAAGACCATGCAACCTTCTGATCTGGAGTCAGACGCAATTGCGCCACGGCCACGGATCCCTGATCAGTATGTCACTCTAGTTTATAAGTGATCTGGAGTTAGACGCACTACCGTTGCGCCACGGATCTCTAATCAGTATGTCACTCTAGTTATGTCGAGGTTAAAGATGTCTTGTTAGAAAAAGACCATGCAACCTTCTGATCTGGAGTCAGACGCAATTGCGCCACGGCCACGGATCCCTGATCAGTATGTCACTCTAGTTTATAAGTGATCTGGAGTTAGACGCACTACCGTTGCGCCACGGATCTCTAATCAGTATGTCACTCTAGTTATGTCGAGGTTAAAGATGTCTTGTTAGAAAAAGACCATGCAACCTTCTGATCTGGAGTCAGACGCAATTGCGCCACGGCCACGGATCCCTGATCAGTATGTCACTCTAGTTTATAAGTGATCTGGAGTTAGACGCACTACCGTTGCGCCACGGATCTCTAATCAGTATGTCACTCTAGTTATGTCGAGGTTAAAGATGTCTTGTTAGAAAAAGACCATGCAACCTTCTGATCTGGAGTCAGACGCAATTGCGCCACGGCCACGGATCCCTGATCAGTATGTCACTCTAGTTTATAAGTGATCTGGAGTTAGACGCACTACCGTTGCGCCACGGATCTCTAATCAGTATGTCACTCTAGTTATGTCGAGGTTAAAGATGTCTTGTTAGAAAAAGACCATGCAACCTTCTGATCTGGAGTCAGACGCAATTGCGCCACGGCCACGGATCCCTGATCAGTATGTCACTCTAGTTTATAAGTGATCTGGAGTTAGACGCACTACCGTTGCGCCACGGATCTCTAATCAGTATGTCTCTAGTTTATAAGTGATCTGGAGTTAGACGCACTACCGTTGCGCCACGGATCTCTAATCAGTATGTCACTCTAGTTATGTCGAGGTTAAAGATGTCTTGTTAGAAAAAGACCATGCAACCTTCTGATCTGGAGTCAGACGCAATTGCGCCACGGCCACGGATCCCTGATCAGTATGTCACTCTAGTTTATAAGTGATCTGGAGTTAGACGCACTACCGTTGCGCCACGGATCTCTAATCAGTATGTCACTCTAGTTATGTCGAGGTTAAAGATGTCTTGTTAGAAAAAGACCATGCAACCTTCTGATCTGGAGTCAGACACGCTACCGTTGCGCCACGGATCTCTAGTCAGTATGTCACACTAGCTATAAAGTGATTTGGAGTTAGATGTCACGTCACTTTAATCCCTAAGCATGATAGAAAAAGAGTGAAAGAAGAACTCGAACCTGACGTGAATTGAACATGCAACCTTCTGTGATCTGGAGTCAAATGTGTTACCATTGCACCACAAATCCCTTATTGATATTTCACTCTAGTTCAATGTTACGCGGCCTGTAAATTATACCCAAGCCCAATATACGACGCAACTTTCTGATCTAGAGTGCGCTACCATTGTGCCACGGATCCCTTATCAGTATGTCACTCTAGTTCCAGTGCTACGCGGCCGTTAAATTATGCCCATGCCCAATATACAATTGTCGAGGTTAAAGATGTCATGTTAGAAAAAAACCGTGCAACCTTCTGATCTTGAGTCAGACGCGCTACGGTTGCGCCACGGATCCCTAATCAAAATGTCACTCTGTTTTATAAGAATTAATTCGCTATCATTGCATCACGGATCCCTAATTAAAATGTCACTCTAGTTTATAAGAATTAATTCGCTATCATTGCACCACGGATCCCTAATTAAAATGTCACTCTAGCTTATAAGAATTAATTCGCTATCATTGCACCACGGATCCCTAATCAAAATGTCACTCTAGCTTATAAGAATTAATTCGCTATCATTGCACCACAGATCCCTAAGCCAATCTAGAAAAAGAGTGAAAAAAAGAACTTGAACCCGACGTGAATCAAACACGCAACCTTCTAATCTGGAGTCAAACGTGCTACCATTGCACCACGGATTCCTTATCAATATGTCACTCTAGTTTCAATGCTATGCGGCCCGTAAATTATACCCAAGCCCAATATACAATGGCCATGGTTAAATTTGGAATATTCATAATTATCAAAGGATGTCATGCTAAGTGAGAAAAAAAAAAAAAAAAAACTTGAACCTAACATGCAATATTTTGATCTGGAGTCAGACGCGCTACCATTGGGCCACCGATCCTTTATTGATATGCCACTTCTAGTTCCAAGAGTGAAAAAAGAACCTGAACCGACGTGAATTGAACACGCAATTATCAAAACGAGTGAAAGAAGAACTTGAACCGACGTGAATCAAACACGCAACCTTTTGATTTAGAGGCATTTGCACTACCATTGCGCCATGAATCCCTTATCGATATGTTCCTCTAGTTCCAATGCTACACGACCTGTAAATTAGTGAAAGAAGATCTTGAACCCAATGTGAATCAAACACACAACCTACTGATACTCGCTAACATTGCACCACGTATCCCTAATCGGTATGTCACTCTAGTTTATAAAATTTAAACCCGACGTGAATCAAACATGCAACCTTCTGATCTGGAGTCAAATGCACTACCATTGCGGGTTAAATTTGGAAGATCCATAAGAGTGAAAGAAGAACTAGAAGATGTGAATCAAACACACAACCTTTTTATCTAGAGTCACCTAATTGATAAGAAAGAAAAAAACTTGAACTTGAACGCGCAACCTTCTAATCTAGAGTCAGATATGCTACCATTGCGCCACAAATCCCTTATCAATATGTCACTCTAGTTCTAGTGCTACGCAGCAAGGGTGTACATGGTCCGTAATGGGTTAGGTTGAGGAGTTTTTTTTTACCCAACCCAAAAGTTCGAGTTGGTTGGATTGGTAACCCAACCCAACCCGAAAATTTTCACAACCGAACCCAACACAACCCGAAAATTTACAGGTTGGGTTTGGGTTGTTCCAATTTTTTTTAAAACTTTAACTAACCCTCCATGCCAAGTAACTAACCTTCTCTCAAAAAAAAAAAAAATGTCACCTATATAGCCACAAATAATGGAGTGGAGAGTGCAAAGTGTAGAGATGCATTTAAGTTTTTTGTTTTATCTTTCATAAATTAATAAAAATATCCTTTTAATTTTATGTAAACCATTAAAAATATCCTTTTAATTTTATATTTTCTCCTAATACTTTTTAAAATATCGTTAAATTAAAAAAAATATTCTTATAGAAAGTTTTAAAAAAACATTAAAAAAAATTCATTAATATTCTTAAAACTTTTTTAAAAACTTTATAAACATTTTTTTAAAAAAATTAATTCAAAAATACCCTACAAGAAATACTCATTCTAAAGTAACATTAAAAAGTTCAAAAATAATCTATGAGACGACGATAAATGATTTTCATCTATACATTAAACGGTAAAATAAAATTTAAACTTGTTTTATGGAAGTAAAGAGAGTTAAATGTTAAGTTTAAAATCTTAGTATTTTTTTAATCATAGTACTAACAATAGAAATATTTTTGAACTTTTTTTTAAAGTTAGAAGGTATTGATGTAATTTTTTTACGGTTTAAACATATTTTTTAAACCCAATTAAAAGTGTAAGTATATTTTTAAGATAAAATATTAATGGTATTAATGTAAATAATTGAAATACTTGATGGAAATAATTCAAAATCATATACAATGGATGGTGTTAAACGAACACGACTCTCCATAATAATATGATATTATCCACTTTGAGCCTAAGCTCTCATGGCTTCGCTTTGGGCTTCCCAAAAAGCCTTGTAAGATAGTATTCCTTGATTATAAACCCATGAACATTCTCTAAATTAGCCGATATGGGACTTTCATTAAATGTCTAAAAAATGTGAATGGTCGATAACTTCTATGAGAGGAGACGAAATGGAGCGGAAGAGACTAGAGGAAGATCAAATTGAGATGAAAGTGGAAGAAAATTGAAAAAAATGATGTTTCAAATGAAATGGGTTGTTTGGGAATATTATCGAGTTTCAATGTGAGTTAATTGCTTCGGGTGATTTAGGGTTTTTGGTCTATCTCTTAATCTAATATTCTCGATGAATGGTGTCACAATCTCACTTTTCTTGACAGTAGACTTTTGCGATTATCCGACACGGGAAGGACATCACTAAACTTTTAAAATCAAAACTTTAAAATATTAGACACAAAATTAATACAAATCACATCCACAAAGGGCAAATGCATTAAGAGCATTTGGTATAATTTGTTCTCATGATAATGATGTTCTTCAACGACTGCTCTTTTCTTCTCTACAGCTTTGAATTGGAACACTTAAAAGGCAACGAAAACCAATAGAAAGTGAAGTTAGAATGGATGCCTGTAAATATTTAAGAATTACAAACCCTAAACAGTAATCTCGCAAATTCATGATACAGAAACAAAGTTTCAAATACAAGTTTTTTTTCGTACTACCCAGAATTCTCAGCTTCAATCTTACCTAAAACAGTACAGATTCGACGATTTCAAACGTAGATTAAATCTCCCCGAGATATATCTGTTTATCACTACTGCAAGATCCAACAATAGGCTCACTCGGATGGAACACGCACTCGTTGACAGATCCGGTATGGCCAGGAAGCTTATACAAGATTCGTCGAGAAGTAGTATCCCATACATACACCATCCGATCTGAACTACCTGCAGTGACCTTGCTACCGTCTGGAGACCAGCTACATTTCAGTAGGTTCTTTTCAAAGTTATGTTGGTGCCCTTCGAATATCTTGACACATCGGTTTTGAGGCGCGTATGGGCGCATGTCCCATATGCAGAGCTTGCAATCCATTCCATTGGTAAGGAGATAGGAACCATCAGGACTCAACTGCATACCAGTTATCATATCTTGATGACCTTGAAGTGTCATCATCACTTCACCTTTGCGCAAATCCCAGACCTTAACATCGTTGTCGATTCCGCCTGTGAAGATCTTATCTGATGCATCGGAGAAACTTACGGCTGTTATCTGATATTTATCTGGAAATGTTTGAATGGCACCCCTTTGACGCATGTCCCAAAGTTTCGCAGTTCCATCGTCCGATCCACTGACAATTAGTGGTGGTCCTCTTCTTGTAGGACAACATGAATTGACAAAGGAGGAGTGCTCGGCCATCTTCTTAATCTGTTTTCCAGTCTCGACATCCCATGCTCTCAGCGTTTTATCCGGGCTGGCACTAACTATCTGAGATCCATCAGTAGTCCAATGAAGATCTAGAACAGCATTCTTATGCCCCCTCAAAACCATATAGTTCTTGCAATCCCCATGTACGTTCCATAGAAAAATTTCCTTGTCATGAGACCCTGAAGCAATCACGCTTCCAGCTGGATTAAACTTTAATGTATATATAGCGCTCTGATGGCCCGTCAACAACATGATCGGTGATTCCAGACTTGATGTTCGCTGCTTCCCATTTGGCCCGGGTCCTTGAGGAGCATTATATGGAACAGTGGACCATTCCATTGGCCGAGGACCAACTGTAGCCAAAGCATTTTCTCCTCCTGAAGGGACTTGCATCTTGAGTTATGCTTAATATCTGACTCCGACTCTGAAATGAAAAAAAAAACTAAGTGCAAACGAACTAATAGAACGAGAAACAGAGAGAGCACACAAGGCAATATAACAAGACTCCGACTCCTGAATTATACACTATATCACTTGAAAACATATTTACTTTTTTTTTGGTATGCAGAAATACATTCTGACACTAAATTACCATTGAAATTATAGTTTTCTTCTTTAAAAAAAGGTTGATTTGCAAAGGAATAAACACTCCACATTAAAAATCCTATTAGAATCACAAAAACATTCAGCCACACAATCATTGTGTAACAGCCCACGCCCACCGCTAGCAGATATTGTCCACTTTGGGCTTTCCCTTTTGCCCTTCCCCACAAGGTTTTAAAACGCATCTACTAAGGAGAGGTTTCCACACACTTATAAGTAATGTTTTGTTCCCCTCTCCAACTGATGTGGGATCTCACAATCCACCTCCCTTGGGGCCCAACATCCTCCCTGACACACCGCCCGATGTCTGGCTTTGATACCATTTGTAACCGCCCAAGCACAGCGCTAGCAGATATTGTCCACTATGGGCTTTCCCTCAAGGTCTTAAAACGCGTCTACTAAGGAGAGGTTTCCACGCCCTTATAAGGAATGTTTCGTTCCCCTCTCCAACCGATGTGGGATCTCACACATAGTGTCTTGGGCAGCAGCATCCTTCCCCATTCCCAAATCCCAACTCAAATACTCTCCAAAAATTGAAAATAAACCAGAAAATGAACAGCAAACAACAAGCGTATACATAACTCACTACATAAAAAAATAAAAGTAAACAAACTAAAAATAGTATCAAAAAAGCATTAATGAAAGATGCAAATCCATTGGAAAATAAAGATATGCATACCGGAGGAAATGGTTGTCATCTACTACAGTAATGAATCATTGATTTAACTAAGAACTAAATAAAATAGACCTTAGGAAACGTTCTAACAGCAATACAATCAACAAAGTTTTTGAGAAGCATAAGAAACAAAGACTACATTGCATAAAAAACAAGGAAAATGAACCACATAATCAAACTGGCTAAACCGCTTGCTAAGTCGTTGGCATAAAACAGCAAGTAGTATCACCTTCCCGACATCTCATAGAACAACCACAACGGGATCGCGGTACTCAAAAAAATTTCACTTCGATTCCATAACAACTAGAAATAACAGTTGCATCTCCAATTTTTCTTTGGTAACTCCAATCGATACTAATTTCCACTTGACATAAACCAATGTACGACAACTATTTCAACCATAACACTGTGACTAACCATAATTACACAGAAACGCTAGAAGCTGTGATCTGTAACTATCCAAAACGGTATTCAAAAAAGTTGAAGAAACTAAATTACAAGGAAAATACAAAAACTCTCCCCTGTGTTGAAACTCATACAATCAGAAAATTCCTTACTCGATTCCCCGAGTTTAAAACGGAAAAAGAAAGTAGAAGCGCCATTAATTAGGCAAGAACAAATAGAATTGTTGTGGCTAACCTTAGCATCAGTTTCATGCATAGAATCAAACAATAGAGGCATTTCTCAAACTTAAAGAAGATAATGAACTTGGTGGAAGCGCAAACCTGGTTGAGACCCGAGAGTAAACCCTAGACGGGAGTTGAAAAGCCGGCACCGAATCTGCGTCGCTGCTCGCAAGAAGCGGAAATGATTTCTCCGACACTGAAATGTGAAGTGTAGCCAAAGTCTATAATCGAAGCACTCACGGGCCTGGTAGTGGTAGCCCCTCCGGTCATAAGCTTCCGCGGGAGGCCCAACAATCATTTATTATATTTTCTTTATTTTTTTTTTTATAAATTAATTTATACAGTATTTTTAATATAAAAAATATTTTTAAAACAAAAACATTAAGCCTTCAACTTTTAAACTAGCATTAATCCATTAATTTTCTTTTTTTAAAAATAAATTCATAAAACCATCTATTTACACTTCATAGAGACCACCGATAATAAAAAAAATTAAAATTAAAATTAAAATTATTTATCTAAAATTTAAATTTTTTTAAAATATTTTAAAGCTCGAGAATACTTTTGGAACTTTTAATTTGAAAAAAAAGTATTAACAGTCTTCATCCTCGAATCCCTCTTCGGACACAACGTTGCAATTTCACAATCAATATCCAAAGCAGTAAATAATTTGTTTCTTCTTTTCTCGGGGCTTAGAATCATGTACCATTCGTCCAATAGAAAATTATGAAAATTTCTGTATATAGTATTACTGGGTTATCTCAATTATTGGCTTCGAGCTAGACAGCGAAAATTGGATAAAATGTAAATCAGACTAATTGGATTATAATAATTAAGACAGGTTGGTTAAATTTGACGGATTAGGGTTAAATTGTAAAGCTTAATAAGGTCACCTACCCAAAATTTCAAGTTAGTCTAAAAGCTTCTAGAACCTAACCCGAGTGTATTAGGGTTTTGACCAATCGCACCATCAACACGGGTCGAAATCTTCTACGACATGGATCACTCCAACTTTAGAAAGCCAATAATAGAAACAACAATGCGTAAATGCAAATTCAGGAGAAAAAAGGAAGAGGAGGAGGATCAAATATGCTATTTCAAGACTGGAAATTTTATAAACGTTACAGAACAAACAAAATACCCCTTAATTCTTCACTTTCTCAAAGAATCTTGAAAGTGGCACTGGACCATCCGCCTCTTCATCATCACTTGAAGACTGCTTGCTTCTCGACCTATGCTTCTTTTCCCTCTTCGATCTTTTCGATCTCGACTTCGATCTTCTAGATTCCCTTTCCTCCTCGTCGCTGCTGGATGAATCCGAGGATGAACTAGAAGAGCTCGACTCAGACGATTTCCTCTTCGAATGCTACAACAGTAAAACTAAATTAGACTATTTTGTTAGATCAAGAGATTCACGGTTGCTGAAAGGAAGTGTCGGCATAAGATGGTTAACAGGATAGAATCAAGATAACGGATCACGAATGATAATAACTTTGCAGAGTTTTTCATGTCGCTTTTGAGCGTCATAGTGTTCATACAACATATATGACTATAGTAACTTGAGAGGCATCATCAACATCAAGCTCACCGACATTTTTCGAACTCGTATTGAGCAAAACATTATGTAAACAATGTATAGCGGAATCGTGATAGTAAGAGTTGAAAAATGTTGGCACCTTTCTCTTTTTTTTGCTCCGTTTCTTTAAGTCTCTGTTCTTCCTATCTGTAATGTCGACGACTTTAGAAGATCTCATTTATCTAACTAATATTAATATAAGAACTCATCAAGTATATACCTTTTTCATGACCAGACTTGCTACCGGAGCGATTTCTCCCATGAGCAAGTTTGCGTGCCCGCTCAGCATCCAACTGCGCTCTATATTCTTTCATCATTCTATCCGTATCTGCTTCCATCTCTCCCTTTTTCAACTCGTCTTCCTGTTGCACCAAACCGAATAGAACATGGAGATGTCAGGTAAATTTGATAAGAATCATGGCAACAAACAATTCCCATGATGCTAAAATGTGGCAGGTATGGAAAATATCTGACAATGATAGGTTATACGTGGAGAAGAATTGTGAGATCTCACAATGGTTGGGGGAAAGAGAACGAATTATTCTTTACAAGGGTGTGGAAACCTCTCCATAGCAGGCGCGTTTCAAAAACCTTGAGGGGAAACTTGAAAGGGAAAGCCCAAAAAGGACAATATCTGCTAGCGGTGGGCTTGGGTCGTCACAAATGGTATCAGAGCCAGACACCGGGCAATGTGTTAACCAGGAGGCTGAACCCCAAAGGGGGTGGACACGAGGCGGTGTGCCAGCAAGGACGCTGGGCCTCGAAGGGGGGTTCCACATCGATTGGAGAAGGGAACGAGTACTAGTGAGGATGCTGGACCCCGAAGGGGGTGGATTGTGAGATCCCACATTGGTTCAGGAGGAGAACGAAGCATTCTTTATAAGGGTGTGGAAACCTCTCCCTAGCATACGCATTTTAAAAACCTTGAGAGGAAGCCCGAGAGGGAAAGGTCCAAAGAGGACAATCTTTGCTAGCAGTGGGCTTGGGCCGTTACAATAAAAACTGTCGTTCTCAATGCAACCACGAGATTCTTTATGCATCACAGTAAAAAAGAACTATGATGTTGGATAACTATATTACTGATAAGAAAAAGAAGACGATTACAAATTAAACGAAAACACCACAATGTCATCAAGGACGGCGTGTACCATACTAGTATGCTACCAATTGGGCAAAGCATTTGCAAGGGTGAATGAAGTTAAGACAACCAAATCTAGGCACAAAAACATGAAGAAATAATTGGAAAATTTAACCCACGAAAAACTTACCTTTTGCTTCTTTTTATATTCCTCCCACGTAATCGTGTGAGAAGTATTAAGGCTGGCCAAACGAGCAGCATGCCACTCTGGTGAATGAAATGAACCATCCACCTGAGACAGTCCTCGTCAATAACAATAAAGGAGAAGATAATAACCCCAATATGCCACTGAACAATTTAGCATCAGAATCTCGACGTATATACAAAAAATATATATAAAGAAAAAATCTTACTTCATTAACAACAGGCCTGTCATCTAATAATTATCCAGGGCTAACTTGGATTTCGTTCTCCAACAGATCATATAGTCATCAAAATGAAGATCCAAGCAATGACAGAGTCAGACTACTTGATAGATGGTTTGTACGGGGAAAATAACTATTCGTGCCAATATATCATTCATATCAAGGCATCATTAAGTATCATTTACCCAGAAGAAGCCTTTTTCTAAATATAAGAGAAGTAGCAACTACATTCTATCGGTACCATATGCGACAAAATTTATAGATGCTCAAATAAAATCAAAGCCAGATAAAATTATGAAATGAAATGAATGTAATAATACCAAATGATTGGAGAAAAACAATCCTTCCAATTAAAATGTCAAACTTCAGTCATCAATATCTAACGACGACGACTAGAACAGGGAAACCATAGAATGCAACCATCTCCAAATGTTCTAGGAAAAAAAAGGATACTATTGCCATATATGTTTCTTTTTTAACTGCTAAACATTGTATAAATTCAAACAATTAAGTCAAGTCAATTTGAACCATGGACAACTTATCGTGAATCTACAGCTAAACCGACATTTTCTTACATCCAACGACCCAACGAGTCGACTAAATGACATAATAACATTCGCTGTTTATAAACTTCCGATTGAGTTATTATAGAAATCGAACATCACAAGAGATAAGTATTTAAATTATGAACGTCTCAGGGAAACTAACTCCCCAGAGGTAGTAGAGTGGAAGGGTACAAACCATTCCATCTTCAACCTCTACCGGCCCAGCCGCGCTTGTGGATCCCAGCCTGGCTTTCTGCATCGCTTTGTACGCTTGATTCTTACCCATTTTGAAATACAGCCAGGCAAGAAATCTGAGGAAAATGAGAGTATAAATCCCAGCAACATACAGATACTAAACGAAAATCGGATATAAACAACCAAAAACATACAAACACAACGGATTTAGATATGAAAAACAAGTAAACGAAAAGGAATGACCGAGTCAGCTCAGCTCTTCACTGTTACATGTGAGCGTTGCCAAGAGAAAATTACGAGAACTAGGCAATTCGTTGGCTCTTTCCTATGGGGTAGCTGTTCTTCAATAGCTTTGTAACATATACTTGAATGATTTACCCAGAAATAATATCCAATTGGTCATAAATCTATACAAAAACGATAAAAAAAAATTGAAGATGACTTCTTATAGTGAGCAGACCAAGAACAAGGAAGAGCACGAACTCCGGGGCTTGATTGAATCGAGGAATACTTGGAAGGAATTTTGTGTCAATTTCCCAGAAAACTGGAATCATAAACGAAGAACAGATGAAGTTCAAATGCAGGCAAGAAAATGGGGGTTTAGCTAAAAATTGTTGAGAATTGATAATAGAAGCAAAGAAAAGTGAAATTGGGAGAGGTAAAGAAGCTACCAAATGAAAATTGTGTAAAGGAAAGGACCCTGAGAGTAAACCCTAGAGGGTTCTTCAAAGGCAACCGGCAATCGGAGTCGCCAGACTCGAATCTGAATTGTCCCGACACCGAATTCTCCTGAAGCAATAGTCAAAGTATTCACGGGCCTGGAGCAGGCTGCCTTCTCATATGGACATACGAGTCAGGCCCATCTTATATTTTTTTTTCTTTTTTCTTTTTTTCCGTTTAAAATAAAAATCTATTGTTTTGTTTTTGTATGAAATTAGTTATCTTATATTTGTATTAAATATAAATTATTTACTTACTTAGTATATATATTATCTATTTTGGCTCATTACGTATTGTCAATAGCCTAAAGATTTTAAAAGCCGTCTATTAGGGAAAGGTTTTCACGTACTTACAAGGAATGTTTTGTTTCCATTTCTAACCGATGTAATGCCTCTGTTAGGGAAAAGTTTTCACATACTAGAATGTTTTGTTCCCCTTTCTAACCGATGTGATGCGTCTGTTACGGAAAGGTTTTTACACACTCATAAGAAATGTTTCGTTTCTCTCTCTAACCAATGTGAGGGAAATCTTTACACACTTATAAAGAACGTGGTTTTCACACACTTATAAGAAATGTTCGATATGACGCGTCTGTCAGGAAAAGGTTTTCACACACCTTACAAGGAATGTTTTATTTCCCTTTTAACCGTGAGATCTCACAATCCATCTTCTTGGAAGCCCAGCGTCATCTCTAACACATTGTTCGATGTGTAGCTTTAATACCATTTGTAACAAAACCTAGATGTGTAGCTTTAATACCATTTGTAATAACCCCCAAAACCCAGATGTGTAGCTTTAATACCATTTGTAACAACTCCCAAAACCCACTACTAGTCAATATTGTCCGCTTTAGCACTTTGTGGTAAGACTATGATAGAAAGAAGTTTCTTTGCTAAATAAATAAAAATTATTTTTAAGGGTAAAAAAGTAATATTGAAATTTGAAAATTTTTGCGTTAGGAGAAAAATTGAAATATGAGTTTGGTAAGATGAGTTATTTTTAAGCTAATGAAATAAATTAAGATATTTTAATAATTGATATAAACTATGCTATAACATTATTATTATTATAATTATTGATATTAATTATTCATAAACTAATGGACTTGGAAGTTTCCTAATAGCAAAAATCATGCTTTAAAAGATATAACGATATTATAAGGCAGTCAAAACTTGATTTGCATTGGAAGAGAAAATGGGTATCAAAAGTGACAAAGTCGAGGCGACCAAAAGTATGATTTTCTAAGTAACAAAACACTCCAAGATGAGAAAAGTTTTCGACCAAAGAACGAAACTTAAAATAATAAATAGCAGAACTACTACATTAAAATCCTTCCATGCCCACATCAACTAATTTTCATCTTTCACTCGTCATCCTCATCGTCATCGTCGTCGTCGTCGTCAGCATTAGCTGCAGAGTTGAGAGCGTTCAAACGTTCCACCAATCGAGCTTTTCTTTCGTCGTATGTCAGCTTCTTCAAGTTGTACCTGTAATTTTCAACCAACAACAACAGGGGAATGTTAATACAATGCCCGCAACAAAGAAAGTTCACTTAGAAAAGATATTTTAGGCTCGAAAAAAGCTCGAGCTAGGTTTCTACCTCTTGTGTGCCTTGGGTTGGGGCTTGTCGGATTTCTTCACTGATGGGTCTGCCCGAATGGCGGCATGAACTTTCTTGTATAAACCCTCAATGTCATCAGCCTCAATGCCCTTCTTGATGTATTCGCTGAAGTGGGTTTGGTACTTCTCTGGTTCATCTTCCATCAAGGTCTGATGAAGCCATATATAAAAAGTTACCAAACGTTTATACAATTTTTTTGAAGGATACAAATAGCATGTCATAAGAACAAATAAACAGCACGGTCGTACCCGCATGTACGCCGCAACGTGTCCACCATAAATGTACTTCCTATGAACATCAGCATCAAGCTGCTTGCTATCCTTGGAAAACCCAGCAAACCTCTTGTCGCTGTGAGGGATGTCCAATCCACCATCTAAAGCTCCCTGTGTTTTTACAAATTGAAATTCGTTGCAGGTTTTTACACGGCCAACATATCATATTAACAATTCCAACCAGCCATATAATGACAACATTCAACCGAAGAAGTACAGAACAATGAGATTGTTCGAAAACGTGTACTCGACGACTTATATCAAAAAATAGATGCTGGTTCCATGTTATAGTGCACAAACGCACATAGAGAAATAAAATTGTCAATAACAGTATAAACTAGCTTTCCATGAGATTAGTATCTGAAAATGTTGATTTAAGATACCATCATAGGCTACTTTGATTACAGGAGCTGACAGAGAAATTAAGTTTCAAAGAACTAAAAATTGAATATCCAGTTGCTAACTGAGTACCTTAAGAGCACCAAAAACACGGTTTCCAGTTGTAGTTTTAAGAAGACCGACATCAAGTAAAGCACGGAATGGCCTTCTGGTATCAGCAGGCTCAACAGAGTAATCTTCACCAGTAGCCTAAGAGTGCAACATCATAGTGTTAATAAAATTAAAAATATAATATAGATAGGGGTAGAGGAAATAGTTAAGAATTGATGTACCTCCACATTGCCCTCATATTCATCATCCATCTCAAGCTGTTTCAAAACTCGTCGAGCCAAGAGAAGCCCAGTGCAATATGCTAAACAATTTTAAAACAGTTGTTCATCAAGTCATTGAAAATGTTGATAGGAATATTATAAATGAACGGACATACAAGAAAGAGTGACAAGATTGAAAGCATACCTGCAGCATAGTTGGTGAGACCAACTTCCAGCCCGTAACGAGGAAGCTCATGAGAATAAGCTGAAGCAAGGACCAAGTCCCCAGCAATGCTAGCAGAAATTATCTGAGCTGTGATATCTTTGTTCGACTATTGAATGATGTCAAGGACACACATCTCAAAATCCATGAAAAGTAGATGTAAAACTGGAAGTAATCTAAAAATAAAACCCAACAAAAAGTCTTGCATTTGATAGCTAAAAGAGAAACAATTACTCATGCTCTTCAACAACCAAAACATGTAAACTTCTACAAACTATTCAAACTCAGATCTTTCATAGGATACAAATCGGACAACAATGCGATACTTGGGAGTATTGTACTTGTTCTTGTCCTGGTTAATAAGACGAATTCTAGCTCGGTAGTCAGTCTTTCCCTCTGTGAATATTCAGAAACAACAATCAGAAATCTAGAAAAGAATAAAAAACATTGTGACATTATTTATATAGGGAATAAATACCTCTCCTTCTCTTGAACTTGACTTGATAACGTTTGAAGTAGGCCTTCGTCTTCTGAGCTTTGGCAAAAGCCTACAATAAATAACCCACCATATAACTACCCCCAACATTGTAAACACATCACGACATAAAAAATATGACCTCGCATTACTATTTAATGAATCAATGACCGTCAAAACCATAAAATACTATAAAGTTAGCTCTGATCTGTAGAGCAAAGATATGTATGATAATTAAGAGCGGCGGAATGCTCAAACTAAAAGCTAGGAACGAAGCTAAACAAAACAGTCCGACCACCAACATAGCTTAAAATAAAGATCCCTACACATACATAGCATGAAACCTACGAATTACAGACCAGTTCCTAACAAAATATGACATAGATTCCACCACACAACGGATTGCGAAGATGAACGAGAAGTCGGAAAACGCAGTAAAAGTATGATTACATGAACTTCTATAGTATAACCAGTGAATGGAAACAAGAACAAACGAAAGCGCAAGGGAAAGGGATGGAGCTCTCACCATTGTAGATTTGGTGCCGCGAGCGGAGCAGGAACCCGAAAGAGAAGTGGCGGAAAACAAGAGATAGGGCAGAATCCCTTTATATAATAAACCCTAGGTTTTCTTTTTTCTTGTTGGGCATAAAACCCTAAATTGCTTACATATGGGCCGACGACTCCAGCTTCTTATTCAAAGTGGGCCGGGCCCGTCTTTCCTATAATCAGTGTAAAGCAATAAAAAATATATATATCCATTTAAAAAATACCTTTAAATTTTTAAAAATTTTAATAATACCAACTTTTTTAAAAGAGATAAATGGTTAATAATTTATTCCAAAAATGCCCTAACGTTCAAAAATATCATTAAGTTTTTTAAATTTTCATTAATACCCATAATTTTTTTTAAAAACTTCAAAAATACCTTCTAAAAAAATTAAATTCAAAAGTATTTTGCCTACCACATTTCAATACCAAAACGTTAACAAAACGTTAAAAAACACGAGAAAGCAAGACTTAATAAGCTTTTTCCTAACTCACCCTGCTACAAGATGTCACCCCTGAAAAAACACACCTTGCGTCCTTGAACCGATAACCATCTTTCGGCTAACCTAGCCTCCTCTGTCCCTCGGGACCAACAAGGGGTAGTACTGGATCACTGTCCACTACGCCTTTCGGCCTGATCTTAGGCCCTGACTCACCCTCCTATTCATAAACTTTCAAAAGTAACGTAAAAAAAATTTGGAAATAACCTGTGATGTATTGATAGACGATTTTCGTTCATATATTGATGACAATTATATTTGGTAAAAGGTTTTAATGTTACTATTAAAATTTCAAGGGTAATTTTAACGGTAGTGAGAATATTTTTGAAAATTTTTAAGAAGTGAAGTCGTAGTAATGAAACTTTGTAAAGTTTAAAGGTATTTTTGAAATAAAATATTAACCATTTCTAATCCAAATAATAAGGGTATTTTTTAGATACGGTGAAAAATTAAGCCTTTGACACTTTCTGTCTACTCGAGAATACAATTTTCAAATTTGATGAGATGTTAAGCCTTTAAAAATTGGTCCTCTTACATTAGACATCGCATTATGCAACGAATGTGCTTGCGGTTTGCTCCACAAATGGAGAATTCATTTTTGTCATGCCAGGATTGTATAAAATATCACGACCTAACGGGTTGAAGATTTGAAATCAAATACAAACTTTAAGAATTGTTAATGTAGTATGGTAAAATGCCCGTAATTGTATAAAATAACTACTCCGACGTTATGTAGAATACTACTATCTTTGTAATGTCAGGTACCCTAATTGTAACGGCCCAAATTCACTGCCAGCAGATTTGTCCTCTTTAGGCTTTCCCTTTCGGGCTTCCCCTCAGGGCTTTAAAATGCGTCTGCTAGGAGAAGGTTTCAACACCCTTATAGATGGTGGTTTGTTCTCCTCCCCACCCAATGTGGGATATCACACTAATGTTGAGAGATTCTTGGTACCGTATAGAGGCGAACTGTAAGATCCCACATCGGTTGCTAAAAGGGTGTGGAACCGTGTGGAACCTTTCCCTTGCATACGCGTTTTAAAAACTTTGAGGGTAAACCCGAAAAGAAAGCCCAAAAAGAACAATATCTGCTAGCAGTTAGCTTGGGGCTGTTACAAATAATATCAGTGTCACATATCTGAATGGCGTGGAGTAGGGAATGCACTGACAACCGCAATAGAATTTTTCAACATGAAACATTCATTAGCAAGGAACGTGATAGAGCGAGCATTCAGTGTGCTAAAAGGGAGGTGGGCTATTCTCGAGGGAAAATCCATCTACTTTGTTAAAGTCGAATGTCGAGCGTTGAACGTGATAGAGCAGGCATTCGGTGTGCTAAAAGGGAAGTGGGTTATTCTTTGGGAAAAATCCATCTACTCGATTCAAGTCGAATGTCGAACAATAACAAACTTATTAACTCAACTCAGTATCCTAAACATTGACTTTCTGAACTCCGACTTCAGAACTCAGTGTCCCGAACACAAACTTATAAACTCTCCCACTTCATAACCCAACTGAACGCTCCCTTTGTGTCACCCGCCTTAACAAAGTTTGCAAGTGATTGATTATTGTTATAAAAGATATTAATTACTATTTAAATCCAATTAATTGTTGAGTTGAACAAATTGAACATTCATATTGATTTAATTAAAATATTTGAACTAATAAATTTTAATATCCAACCATACATATTCTTGAAATAAAATATGTTATTGAAAAAAATAATAATAATAAGTTCAATTATGGTAAGAGTATGAAAATTTATGCTTAAAATTGCCTTTGACCCCAAAGTTTTAATATTTTTATATTTAATAATAATTATTTTTTAAAAAAATATTTGGTTTATACCTTTAAAACAAAATATTAATCAAACAAATTATATATGAAATTCATGGTAATTCTTAATATTCGTATGCTTTCAAAATCATATGGTCACGAGAAAAAGAAAATAACATTTTATTATAATCATCAAATTCGTTCATCCTGACATCATATTAAATTTGACCTAAGATTTTATGATGTTTTATACCGTTTACCATTGTGTTATATCTTAAGTTAATGAAATAGTCACTTTAAAAGGATAAATATAAAAATAAAAATTTTAAAATGGTATACTCGAATGTAACACTCCAGTAAAATAAACATTTTAATGTCGAGAAAATAAATAGTTGAAAAGGTAAAAGCAATGGTTGGAAAATGAATTTAAGACAAATTTATTAAGTAAACCAAACTCTATATTTTTGAGCTAAATAGGATTGGTAGAGTCTTATTTATTATTATTATTTAATTTTATCTAAGACATCTCATGCATCAAAGGTCCCATCTCAGACCTGTCAAATATCAAAGACATTAAAGACATCTCAGATCTCTCATACATTTCAGACGTCTCAGACCTTTGAGACCTCTCAGACATCAAAGGCATCTTAGGCCTCTGAGACCTCTCATACTTCTCAGACCTCTAAGACATCTCAGACATTAAAGACATTTCAGACCTCTCAGACATCTCAAACTTCTTGTATGTCTCAGACGTCTCAGAGGTCTCAAACCTCTGAGATGTGTTACATTAATAACTAAAATTTCATAAAATTTAAATATCAAATATTTACTAGTCACAACACATTACTAACTCGATTACAGATGTTAAATATTTTAATATTTTAAAAAATACAGTAGGATTGAGTTAGATTCTAATGTTATTTTCGAGTTTGTCCGATTGACCAGATAAAAAAAATATCAACAAACCAAATTTTTTATTTAAAAAAAAATTCAACCCAACCTAAAAGAATTTTAACCTAACACAACCCTTTACCTTTTAGGTGGGTCCGTCTAAGTTAATCAAGCCATATGAATGCTCTTAATGGATAATATTAATTCAAAAAAATAAAAATAAAAAATAAAAAAAAAGAAAAAAAAGAAAAAGAAAAAGAAATCATATTATATCACATTTTAAAAATAGAATAATATAGTTTGTTGTTTTTGAAAAGCCTCCCAGCTTCCATTGTTGGGAAGTGCAGAAACTGGAGATACAGGAGAAGCAACCAGCCATTGCAGACTCTCTGCCATGTCTTCTTTCGTACGCTTCATTCCTCTAACATGGCCTTTCATCATCATCTTCTTCTTCTTCCTCTTCTTGCTTTCTCCCGCGCTTGCCGCTGAGTCGGATCACAAGGTAACTTACCCTTTCCATATCTTTTCAACCACTTGATCTCCCTGATCTTCCTGCTTTTCCTCCATTTTTGTTTTAATTCATTGCTTTAGATCCGTCTACATGCTGAGGGATTTTCCGTCGAGTTGATTCACATTAGTTTATATTTTGTCAATTTGAATGTATGTGTTTCTTGCTTCAAATTTGAGTTTCTTGAATCGTGAATCCTCCATTGTTGGACGCTCATATCGGATCTCATTTCTGTTTTTCCGTGTCCGTTGGTTCTAATTTAACGCGCGAAGTGTCGACTTGCTACGGAGATGAATGTATATAAGAATGGCTCTGGAACTATCCAGCTAATCTCTGTTTGATGGTGTCCAGATCAAAGCAGCAGAAATGGAGTCTCTAGCAATGACGAACAATTTTTCACAAGTTTTTTGAATTGTATAAATTTTTTGAATCCAAACCAAGGGGCCAACTGCTGCAATTAGGCAATTCGTGTCAAGTCAGTCCGCCGCTAACTCTTTACAAATTGACTGTTGCAATAAAATAAAGACTGTATAATTGTGCAAGGCATGTGTTTACCTTTGCATGCTCTTCTTCCTGCATAAATTCACAAGTCTTCTTATTTTTTCTTAGATTGAATGGAAACGGGCTCTTCTAGCAATTCTCCAATAATTTGAATTTGAGTATTTATAAGTTATATACCAGCAGATAATATATATTTCTTTCCGGTTGTTTTTCGAGGTTCTGCTATATGGAATGCTATATTTAACTATCTGGACAACATGGTCAGCAACTTTTTTGCATGGTTACATATTGATTAAACTGCTGCTTGATATCAACCGTTTACTTGTTTAATTTTAATTTTTTGAAGTTTTTTATTGCTTAAGATTCTAATTTGAGTTGCTTACCCACTCTTCATTATAACTATTTCCAGTATCAACCAGGGGAATCAGTTGTTCTCTGGGTAAACAAAGTTGGGCCTTATAATAATCCACAAGAAACATACAATTACTATAGCCTTCCATTTTGTCATCCATCAGGGGACTCTGCTCACAAATGGGGCGGTCTTGGTGAGGTCCTTGGTGGAAATGAACTCATTGACAGTCGGATCGAAATAAAGTTTCTGAGTATGCAGTATTTCGTGTTGTGCTAAATCTGATAAGCTAGAGATGGCTGCACAGTTTTCTCATTGATATTTTCATGTTGCAGAAAACATGGACAGAACTACTATTTGTCCGCTTCATCTTGACGAAGCAAAGGTTAAACTGTTTAAGAATGCAATTCAGAGAAGTTACTGGCTTGAACTCTTTATAGGTACGATCTGCATGATGTTTTATAGTAGTGAATCAGTGGTGTTGTCACAACTATGGGCATTGTTTATAGTTTTGCTGCTAGTACTTACCAAATTTTTTGAATGGTGATATAGTTCATGTAGGAAAACTAACTAAAATAGCATTTATCTGTTCATCACGAACTTATATGCTTGTTGAGGAATGGAATAGCTTTATCCAAAAAAAAAAAAAAAAAAAAAAAG